GGCTCCTAAGGGCAGAGATCTTTTATTTAGTACTCCTTTTTCAGATTTGGTTTCTTCATTTTTTGATGAAGAATATGATGAGCGTTTTATTATAATCCAAAACGAGTCTTTGGCGCGCAGGCGTCTGCAGTCGTTGTTACTACCCTGCCCTAAGGTTTCAAAGGAATCCCGCATGTTTGCAGATGTGACGAATCGAAATAAGATGGCCCCTTCTGTTAAGAATCTCTTCTCTAATTCCAATTCTAACGCTTTGGAGAGATGGGTTGTGCGTAATCGATAGAAAATGCCATTCATTTTTTCGTAACTTTTGCTTGTTCACTTAAGATATATATATCTTTCATAGATGTTATTTGCGATTTCCAGATTTCTATGATTTTTTCCTATTGGTATTGTTTAAACGCTAGATTGGTTTTCTTGCATAATTTCTTTTCCCCCTGGCTTTGTAGATCGTATCTTGCCAGGGTGGTAGTGTAGAATTCTGATAGATAACTGCACATTTTATGTGCTTTTTTGCAGAGAAAATATATCATTAAGACGCAATGTGTACAGTGATCATTGTCTGAATATTTTCTTCCATGTCTCACGAGCGGAGATGTCATACATTATACAGTATTAAAATCCCTTTTTGGTGATCTTTTATTGCGGTGTTACACCATTTAACTCATTGTCTATATCTTTCGAGAAAACCGTTCAGGGGATAGTCATAGTTCCGTGTTGTTGTGTATCAGCCTGTGAAGTCAATTTTTGTGGAATGTCTTCCCCTCTTCATTAACAAAGATCCTTCTCTCTTTTGGTCATCCATCTCCATTGTGATTAATATTAATAGGGTGATTTAATAATCCTATTTACGTGACGCGACATTTTACAGCCATTTACTCCTACATTTTCATTAAAGTCTGCACTATCTATTCGAGTTACAGGAGAGGGAAAACAACGGCTCATCGACCAGAAGGGGTGTTATTTCGCTTTTCCCGTTTATGTAAAAGCGCTGCACCTTTGTTGGTCGTCTTTATTGTATTGATGATCACGAAAACATACAAGCTTGTCTAATATCCATTTATATAGGCTGTACGGACCCCTTAACGCTGACTTTGGACTTTCCCGAAACTGATTTTGCCCGTTTTCGTCGCCAAACCTTTCCATGCTCCGCGGCAACCCCAAACCGGCGGCCTCGCGGAGGGGTTTGCGGCCGTCCTCAGAAGACAACGACCTCCCTGCGCTCGATTTTTTCGTCGATGAACTCCACCCGGAGGTGGCGGCCTACCTCGCCCCACTAACGGACGCGCTTTGCGAAAACGCGGCGATCGTTCACGCGAATCGTCAGCAATCGGCCCGCCGGATGGATAGAAAAACCCTGCGAGGGCCGAGCGCCCCAAAAAACCCTCGTGCGATCGAGGGAAAAGGTGGCGATCCACCTGATTTTCGCAGCCAAGCCGCGCTTCAACATATCGCGCGAAGTATACGATTTCACCGCTCCCACCCCACCGCGGAGGGCACCGCGCTTCTGCTCGAATTTCTCCGCTCCATCCCCTTCTTCGACGCGCTCGCCGAGGGTGAACTTCTGCTTCTAACGGAGGCGTTATCCATCAAGTTCGTCGCGGCGGGCGTGGTCGTGCATGAGGTTCCTTCTTCGGCCTCTTCTTCGAATAAAAATCCGCATCGGGATTCGCGAAATAGCCACAATGGAAACGGGAGTAACCCCTGGAAACCCCTCGTCGAGGGGGTAGGACTTCCAACGGAACTCACCGACCCCCTCGACGCCGCGGGGTTTCCAAAAAGCCCTTCGGAAAAGCACCCCAAACTCCACCCGACCCCCTTGGAGGTTGGCAATTCGCTCCCTCTTCCTCCTTCTCTCGCGCCGCCCCCTCCGCCTTGTGCGCAGTCGTCGTCGTCGTTTTCGACGCCGTTTCTCCCGGCTGTCGGGAAACCCGCCGCGCCGGGGTCGTCGAGCCCGCCACATTCTATCTACATCCTCCTCCGAGGGCGAATGCAGCTTTCCCTTCGCGCCGCCCCCGCCGTTTTTCCCTCTTCCTCAGCTTCGTCGTCGTCGTCGTCGTCTTCTTCGGGTTCTTCGGCTTTGCTTCGTAGAGGAGCGGCGAGGGTGTATGAGGTGCTCCCGACGGATTGGTTCGGCCACCTCCTAGATGCCCGCGGGATCCCCCCGGGTTCGCGTTACACCACCACCAGCCACTGCGCCCTTCTCCAGCTGGATTATCGTTATTTCCGCTACCCCCTCCCACCTTCTTCGCACCACTCCTCGCTCCCACTCCCGCTCCCGCTCCGCGAGGCCGTGCTGCACGCGAGCCGGAAGGATAAAGCGATTTGGCGCGTCCTGCAGCGCTGCGAGGCGCGGGAGCAGCGGCGGTGGGTAGGGTTTCTCCTCAACGAACCCCCTTTTCCCTATCGCCCTCCCGACGTGGCCTCCCAGGCGGCGCCGGCTTCGCAGACGAACCCGACCCGTTCCCCCCCCCCTTCCCCCAGCCATTCGAGGAGTCGTTCGAACAGCCACTCGCAGGGCCGCCTGCACCCCTCTTGGGGCGGGGGATCTGGCGAGGTGGAGGGGCTGCCCCGCCGGGGTTCGAACCCCTCACCGGTGACACGCTACGCGAGTGGCTATGCCGACCCGCCATGCGGCGGGGTCCCTATGGGAAACGGCCACGGCGGGCCCTTCGCGACCGCCCGCCTCTTCGCCGAGGCCGCGGCGGAGCTCCACGGCATCGCGCGCCGCCTCCTGCCCCTCCGGCTGAGCAAAGGGCAGCCCCTCCTCCACCGCGGCGAGGTCGCCGACGCCGTTTATTTCATCGCCGCCGGGGTCTTTTCCTGCGCCCGGGCGCCCTGGCGACGGTCGTTTCCGGCGGCGTCCGGGGGGTTGAAGCGACGCGATCGCGACAGGCCGTTTGTCGAGGTTTCCACCCTCGTCGCGGGGGATTTTTGTGGGGAGTTGGAGCTGCTCGGGTACGACCCGGATGAGCGACCAGGGGAGGGGGTGGTGTGGGGGGCCGCGTATTGGCGGGAGGCCCTCGCACGACGACTTTCCGTCGCGATCGACCCCGCCGGCGCGCTCGCGAGCGTCTGCCTCGCGGGAACCCTGGAAAAAACGGACGAAACCCCGTCCAATACCGAAGAAAAGGAAGCTAAAACGCAGGAAATGACGAACGAAACAACCAAGGATAAGGAAGAAGACGGGTATACCGCGGTTGAGCCGGAAGAGGACGCGATGGACGATCTCATGGAGGAGGAAAATGAGGAAGAAACAAACAACCACGGGCGATGTGAGGAACGAATCTTCTCGCCTGGTGCGGCGGAGCATCCTCGCGCGCGAATCGCTACGGTGCGGGCGAAAACCCCGGCAATGGTGTTTCGCCTTGACTACGACGCCTGTCGGGTGCTTTTTAGTGAAAAAACGTTCGCGCGTCTTCGGGAATATGTGAGGGGGTATCCTTCAAACGAGGACCTCCGGGTGGTTCTCACAGCGCAGCGGAAATGGCGGGAATACCGCGCGAAAGTCGTGGAGGACGTTCTGCGTGATGTTTCCCACACCAAAGCAAAATCCGGGCGATCCTCATGAGGAGTGAACACAATTCATTGAAGCTCATCAACTCGCGATGGTGTCTAAACATATGTATAATATCGCATCCACAATGTAAAAAAAAAAAGCAGGGGTATTTGACGTGTAAAGCTCTTGCTGTTTTTCGTCAAAAATGCTCGAGCGTTCTTTCTTTCCTTTTGTTTCCCTCCCTACACGCGGTGGAGATGGTGGCTTCTTTCTCTTTCTTTTCGCCTGCGGTGCAGCCATCGTAAACAAAAGAGAACGAAGCGAGTTCATCTGAGCGTTGGGGTGCTACTTTTCGCACCTACAAGGGGGAGGGAGGGAGGGGGGATATGAAGTATTCGTATTGAACTTTGTCTACTAATTTACCTGATGGCATGTATTTTAATCATTTTTTGCTTCATTACTTAATTACCATTTTTTTTTTCTGTATATTTTGTCATACGTTTATTTCGGGCGATATGGCCAAATGGAAGGGGGTTTAAAGGAACAAACCTCATTCGAGAGGGTTGTTATACTATCTTATTAAAAAAAAAAAATGGCATGCTTTTGTCATGGACCGTTACATTTCTTTATTTCCCCATCTTGGTCACTCTTTTATTTTGCTTTATTTTGTATTTTATCGATTCTGTGGTAATGTCTGAATCCTCAATTGGATTGATTACCACTCACATCCCCACCTTCGCGCGTATTCAAGACTCCACAACAGACAGGTGTGCCCCACCCCCGTGTATGGCAAGAGACCCAACAGATCCTTTTATTTAGTCCTCCTTTTAATTGTTCCGTTTTCTTTTCCTTTTAAAACAAACGAAAAAAAAAGAACCCCCTCCTGCTCCCTCCCATCAACCTTTAAAGAAAAAAAATGCTCAACGAGGCCTCCTTGCGAGAGTTCTACGAGCACGTCTTCCCCGTAGAGCTCCTCGTTCGCTGGCTGAGCTATGACCTCGGCGGGGATTCCTTCGAGGAAGCGAATGGTCTCCCTCGCGAGAGTCGCCTGCGGCCCGCCGCGGAAGCCTATCTCGCGCGACGGGAGTTTTGTTTCACCCTTCGAGGGGATATTTTCACGCGTTTTCGCAGCTTCACGGGGAGTTCCGAGCTCCGCGCGGAGCTGCGCCGCGTCGCGCCAGAAAAAATCGACGTCGGCGCCGTTTACAACACCCGCCCGCATCTCAAGCAAGGCCTCGCCGCGCTCACCCCGCACGAGCGCGAGCTCGTTTTTGATATCGACATGAGCGATTACGACGCCGTTCGCTTGTGTTGTTCGGGAAAAGAGGTGTGTAAACGGTGCTGGGGGTGGCTGGCGTGCGCGATGGGGGTGCTTCGCCGGGTCCTCGTCGAGGATTTCGGGTTTCGATTCCTCCTTCCCGTCTTTTCTGGGCGGCGAGGGGTGCATCTGTGGGTGTGTGATCGCCGCGCGCGGCGGATGCGGGATGATGAGCGGGCGGCGATCGTCGGCTACCTCGCGGCCCTCACCCCTCGATCCTCGCGCGGCGGCGTCGTTGAGGATCTCGCGCAGCATCGCGCGATTCACCCGACGATCGCAGGGGCCCTCGCGGCGTGCGTGGAGCCCGCGTTTTACGCGATCTTCGTCGATTCCGAGGCGGAAAATCCAAACAACATGCAGCACCACCCGGCCGCCGCGAAGGTCGTGCTCGAGGCCGTGCGAAACGCCCTTCGCCGAGGTCGCGGCGACGCCCTCGCGCGTTTTGAGCGGCGAATCGCCACGGAGGCGGTGGCGGAGACGGGAATCGCGTGGGGAACGCTTTGCCGGGCGCTCGGGAACGAGGTTGAGGCGCGTGACGTCCTGCGCGCCGCGCAGGTGCTGCTGCTGTATCCTCGTCTGGATGAGCACGTGACGACGCGGCGGGATCATCTCCTGAAGCTCCCGTTTTGCGTGCACGCGGGAACGGGGTTGCTTTGTTGCCCGCTGCGGTGGGAGACGTTGGGCGCCTTCGACCCTCAAAAAGACGCCCCCGGGTTGGAAGAAATCGTGATGAATCGGCGGTACGACCCCGCGTGGGAGGGGCCGCTGCGGGAGATGTTGCAGGCGATGCAGGAGGACCCCAACGAGCGATAAAAAAAAAAAGGGGGAAAAGGATTCCGCCTTCTCTCCCTCCCCCCCACACACACATTCGAGCGTTCACAACGCGTAGCATAGAAACCATTCATAGAAGATCCTGAAAGGGCGGTCCTTATAGGACTAGGACGACTCATTTGGGAGGAAGGAAAGGAAGTAATGAGATAACTTTTTGAAATAGTGATCGTTATGAGGTGTGAATCCCACTTTGGAAGGCAACTCATCGCGTGCATATGATGTCGTGAGGAGGAGAACAACTAAACAAAAAAAGGGTGAGGGGAGGGGAGAGAGGAAGGTGAGAGTAGCCTTCGCACGATTGATATACCATAAATGGATTCTTTAACAACCGCGCATCTGTATTCTTTTCCCCCTGATTTCTTATTTTTTTTTTCGAACGCTTTAGCGCACAGCATTCTCTTATAGGACTTTCTCTTCAAATCGTCATTATAACTCCAAGTCCCATCTTTGGGTGGTGATTTTTTCTTCTTCAAGGAGGACGGGTGGCTCGCATCGTGCGGAGAGTTTTTCCCATTCTCCCTCACACCCGTGTTACCCCCTGGGCGCTGTTATCGATTTCGCGAAGAAGGAAACCCCCAAACCCCTTTGGATAGGTCTTGATTCTTGCCGATAGATCGATCAATCGATAGGGATAGATTCAGCTACATCGATCTATTTATATATAGATATAGCTATCTTGATATCTCAAATACCCACCTGGTATTTTTGTTTTCCAGGTGGATCACCTTTTTTCGCTCGCGTGGTATCCCTCATTGGTCTCCCGGTGAAACCCCCCATGCGGGTGTTTTCCGCGATGCCCCCGGTCAAAGTCGCGCGCACGCAACGAATGGAGCTTCCCCTGCCCGCGCGAATCGCCCACGTTCCCGCAGTCGCCGTGGAGGATTTCGTTTACACCGACGACCTTCCCCCCTTCCATCGCGTGATGTCCCCTCAGGAGTTCCTCG